AATTGAATGGGCATTTTAATCCCAACAAAACCGAGTCTAAGAAAAACAGGTAGCCCGAAGAAGTCGTTAATGTTATCGTATATAAACAACCAGTCGGAACAAACCTATTCACTTAGTCATATGTTTTTTTTTTGTTTGTTTTTTTCGCGCGCTTTGAATGAGAGAGAGGCGTTTAATGTAAAATATCTTCGTTTCCTCTTGAGATCATGCTGTTTAATATGAGTCGCTTTATCAAAACAATCCAGACTTTAAAAATACAGACCGGGGACGTTCAGCACTTTTCTGACACATCACAAACGAGGAGGACCGTTTAGGTAAGTTTGTTCACATTTGACTAAATTGGGGGAACCACATTTTCAGGCTAACGTTAGTTCATCCACAAATGTAAATTCTGTCATAATTCTGCCCAAACACATTTGAGATGCTTCTTCTTAACAGAAGATATTTTGAAGAATGTTAGTAACCATTGAATTTCCATATATATATTTTTCACCACTAGGTGAAAAAACTAAACTAAGTCATCATTTTTTTGTCACAACATTCTTAAAAATATCTTCTTTTGTGTTAATAGCTCTGATAGCTGATGCTGTTAATAGCCAACCTACTGTCACAATGTAGAAAAGATACTTTTGCAACTTTTACTTTGCTTCATGAGCAATTTCAGCGTTATGGATGTGAGTGGTACAGGCATGTTTCACAATGAGTTTGTGTGTGAGTTTGAGGTTTTAAGCAGCAGATCTGGCTTCCTTCTCTCTCTCTCTCTCTCTCTCTCTCTCTCTCTCTCTCTCTCTCCACTCACTCACCTGTGACGGAGCACTTCCCCTGGTCGGCTCTTATCAGCCCAGGGAGGAAATACCTGCCACAGGTAAACAGGACCTCGTGACCCTCAGGGCTTTGCACTCATACTCAAGCAGACAAGATGTTGTTCTTTCTGGCCTGCCGTGAGCATCCCTGCCCCCACCTGCACAAACCATCTCCCACCCCCCCCTCAATTGAATCTTATCTAAGTATCAGCAGGTGTAAGGCAAGAGCTGCTTATCATGATAGATTCAGTATGCATACAGTTGATCAACAGCACAAATGCTTTTCTGACTGCCCGTGATGATGCTGGTAGCACTTTAAAGTAAAAGTAAGCCCTCATTTCTAGTCAATACTTAAGAAAATTGTTTACTTCCATGTACAAATAGCATATAAAGTCATTTTAATCTTTATTAAGGCTATACCTAATTGTGAGAATGTTTATACATTTATTCGATATTTAGATATTTATTAAATTTGGGTCAAACACAGACTGGTGTCTGGGTCAGACTATGTTTACAAAAGGATTTTTATATACTGAAAAGTAAACAGTTAATGAGTATAGGTAAAATTATTTTTTATTGTCAAACAGTGAACAGATTAAAAAAACAAACATTCTTAGTAAACATAAAATTTTAAAACAAACATAAAATTGTATTATATTTTAAATTATTAAAAGCCTCTTGCAGAAAGTACATTAAAATTATGTCAATTTAATATAATAGTTTGATGTAGTTGATTTTTTAATTAACATGTTTAGTCATTTTATTGTTTATTTACTTGTTTTTTATATTCAAATTAAAAATTATACATGATTTATTTTATAAAAATTTATAAATATTTGAACCTATGCACAATAAAAAGCGTAAAAGTGTACAAATCTGGCTTTTTGATGTTATTAATCACAAACTACAATTACTAATTGTCTGATTGTTGACCTATTAAAAAAAGGATTAACAATTAATTGTGGATAAAATCAGCAGAAAATGCATGATCATGACAGGCCTACAAAACACTTTCCCTCAAATGAAAAATCCTGTTAAATGAAAATGTTCTCTCTGAAGCTGGGATGCTTTACACCTAAACAATGTGTTCTAAAATAATAAATCCTGGTTAAGGAATTCCTGCAGCGTGCAACATGTTCCCTTTGCCTCTGGGACCATGTGTGAGGGTGGAAGTGTCCCTCTGGGACCAGTGACCCTAGTGAGGGAGCACATTCTCACAAGTCCAGAAGGAACACATGAACACACACACATACACACACACACATACACACACACACGGCAAGCTGTTCTGACTTTAGTTAAATCGCTGGATATAAGTTCTTGATGTTTACAGTTCAGTTTTCACTACACTGTTAAAAAATGCTGGGTTCGACAGAATCAATTTGTTTTGGGACAACATGAAGAAATTAAGTTAGCTTATTAGTTTCTACAAATGTCTGTGAATTGAACATAAAACGTTTGAGTTGTCAAATGAAAACCTTAAAATTGTGTTGTTTCAGCTAATAGTTTGAACAAACAGCAAACATTTTTAGAGTGTAGTTTTAAATGCAAGAACTGGATTTCTAGTAGTAACAATAGCCTTTTTATATCAGCAATTCTACTAGTAAACATGTTAACTATTAGAAGCTTGGCATCAGTAATGATGTCATCACTTCCAGAAATTAAATTGCATTCTTGAATAAGTAAAAATATCATGCTTGATATCAAGTACTCTATATAAATGCAATCAAATAGACTGCCAGAACTGATTTATAGCTAATTGAAATTTCACATCAGTTTATTATGTCTTGCTGAAATAAAGAAAAAAAAAACTTTGGGTATCAATAAATACATAAAAATGTGAATTCCTGGTATCAATAATTCAGTCGTCACTAATTGTTCACAGCTTAATGATTCAACGCTGCATTTGGCATTTCTGTAATCTGAAAATGGATAAAAATTGCTTTATTACTAGTAGCAATTCAAATCTTGTTATCAAAAATATACAATGACTCCTATATGAACAATGTAGTAACTTCTATAAAAAAAAAAAGAATTTTGCTAAATTAGAATTTTCATCTAGTTCTTGATAATCACAGTTGATTTACAATGAAATCCTATGGTGACATTTAACTAGATATTTATGATATCAGGAATATTACTACTTTGTTTACTACTTTCAATTTTAATGTCTGATATGCAAATGATATCACAATTAAAATCAAGAAATAACTCCACTATTTAAAACTGAATTCTTGATATCAAGAATTATAATCCTGCTAATTAGAGTCAAATCAGCTTGCCACAAAAAAAGAGTGAAAAAGAGAAAGAGAGAGGGCAGAGCTCCAGGACAGCGGCTCAAGTCAAACACCTGAGGGTCAGGGTCTCTCCATTTCTCTCTCTCTCTCTCTCTGCAATCCTCTGCTCTTCATGTTACCTGAGCCTCATGCACCAATGCTGCCCTTTATTTGATGGATGCGGTTTCAGCCCCTCCAACCACTTCCTGTTAAAACAGTGATTGATAAAGGAAATCTGATCTACTGATTATGTTAAACATCTTAAATTTCAAATTTAAAAATGAATTGTACCTACACTATACTTACACTTTTTACATGTTTTTCATTGGTTCCTGTTTCTTGAAACTCGAAAACTTACAGATACACAACATATATTATATTATATTATATTATACTTCGTGCTGTCGATATTAATGATTATTGTGCACTTAACTTTGTCAAAATAAACTTTTATATTGAATGTGATTTATAACGATTATGTTTTGAATGCATGCATAATTTTGAGAAAATGTTTATATATATATATTTATATATAAAATATATGTGCATATGATACAACTTATATGTAAATTGTAATATCTATGTAACAAAACTGTTTTGTATAGTTTTGTTTTTATCTGTGTGGGCGTGTGTGTGTGTATCACATATAAATAATAAGTGAAGCTCTACAAAGTAATTTCGATAGGAGCACACAATATAATTGATCGCGGTTGGTGTCTCATCTGTAATCACCAATAATTCAATCAGATTGATCCAAGACTACACTGTAAAAAATAATGTAATTTGTCACAGTAAATTCCATTAGTATCACTTTACAAGGAGTTAACTGAACTTGTTTTTGTATTCAGAATTTTATAGTGAAATTAAGGCAGGCATCATGATTACAGCAAATTACTGTATAAAGGGCTATAATTATTGCACGTTAGTTATAGGAATTCCAACACTCTTTTTTTATTTAACATAAAAATTAATACACATGAACTTTTATGCTAGTACAGTCACTTTTTTATATTTAGAAATATTTACAAAATTATTGTTAATATGAAGTACCTTACAGTAATTTACTGTGAATTTACATACAGTCCCTTACAGTGAAAGTAAAGCAATTATTATCCAGTTGTTTACTGTAATCTTACGGTCAAATATTTTTACAGTGTTGGCATCATGGTGGCAGAGTGGGTAACATGATCGCCTCACTGTAAGAAAGTTGCTGGTTCGATCGTGTTCTCCTCGTGTTCGCAAAGATTTACTCTGGATGCTCCGGTTTCCCCCATAGTCCAAAAACATGCACAATAGGTGAATTGAATATACTAAATTGACCGTGTTGTATGTGTGTGAACGCAAGCGTGTGGGTGTTTGCCAGTGTTTGGTTTTGGCTAGAAGGGCATCTTATGCATAAAACATGTGCTGGATAAGTTGGCGGTTCATTCTGGTGTGGCGATCCCAGAACAATAAAGGGACTAAGCCGAAATGAAAATAAAAGAATAAATGATTTTACAGTGTGCAATAAATAGACAAATTTTGCCCTTTACTGACTTATTTTGGAAGATTTCCCCCTTCCACCAATCTCCTCCTTTTGGTGGAGCTTTCCAGACCTACCTGATCTTGGACCCCCTTATATGCTTATTGACCAGGCAGGAGCCCTGGGCTCTATTATCTCCGAGCATAGGGTTTTCTCCTGGGACAGCACGACAAACCTGTTAATAGCGTCAAGCAAGTGTTAAATCTTAAATATATTTAATTCACACACATATATTATGTAAAAACAAACTTTAATTTTGGGTGTGATTAATCTTTGCCCGGCACTAATTATATTATTATAAAATTCAACATTTCAACAATTCAAAAATGCATATAATAACAAAATACTAAATAATATTATTTAATTTTTTATCATTATATAATTTTATGTATGCATTTGTTTCACAGCACTGAAATTATTTTATTATAGTTAAAATAATCATGACAATCAATTTATATAATATAAAAAGGCTTCGTTTCATGACATTTTTTTAATCATACAGTTAAACCTAACATTTTTTTCTGAGCAAAATATTCTCTTCTCAAACAGCAGATTAAACCCTCCAAATCTATATGAAAATGAGTACATTTATGACTTAAATTAGATCTCCTCAGTGTCTGCCAACACAGATTTACCTCCAAATCCAACATGAGCAAGGATAATTAAGCATCATCATCACCAATATGTTGATCCACTAATTAGAGCCAGTCCTTCCCTGCAGTTTGTGTGTTTGTGTCTCTATCAGTGGTCATCCGCTCCTCAATAGCCCCTGGGCCAGCAGATATGAGCCCGGACGAAGATAAGCAGAACAATGGTTCAGTCCTGTATCTCTGTCCTCATCGGGTGTCTGCGCAGAGGATGTTGTTAAAGCAAGAGCAAACAGTCAAACATCCTGCGCCAGCTCTGTCACTTCCCCTTAATCTCCCTCGCTCGCTCACTGTGGCTGTCTGTATTATTTTACATCTCTCGCAAGATGCTTGTGTGATTTTCACAACAGAGTGTGTGTTTGGGGACTTCGGTGGGTGTTGGGGTGAGATTGTTGGTTTGACGAATAAATTTAAGTCTGTGTAGAACAAAAAACAGATCATGTTAGAGTAAGATACTTGACATATAACAGTTCATAGTTTAAATAATGTAAATAAAAGCAAAAAATACCAAGTTAATAAATCAAAAGCAGTCAAATACATTGGAATAGTGTGACTGACCAAACAGGATTAAAAATTTAATATATACATTTATTAATCATTAATCAATATTAATAAATGAATGAATGATTTATATTAGTTAATTTAATAATTTAATATTATTGAATAATAAAAAATAAATTTTGAAGATTGCATGGTATTATAATCACTTCCACAATTTAGTCATACAAATCATGCAAAAATAACACAATCAATTCATGAATAATTGAATCATTGAATGAAAAAAAAAAACTAATTAATTAAACAAAAAAAATAGGTTTGTCTTAGGGTGTTTTCACACTAGCACTTTTGGTCTACACCCAGGTTAGTTTGACATCAGAGTTTGATAACTGTAGCCATGCCGCATGTTAACAAGTTAGAAAGGACATTTGGAAACATTCACACTATTTACACAAAGTGAAATACTTGTTTTAGTTATTTTGGGCTGACCCTCATGCTTTGTCAAAAAATTAATTTAGTCAACACTTTAACAACATTCTTCAGCACTAATACCTCAATGACAGTCACAATGTCAGTTATCAGAGCGAGTGATCTAAAGTGTTTTCTAAACGAATTGTGGATTCGTTGAGTACTAATGAAAAACTTTTAACCTTTAACCTTTTATGCAAATCTACCACTGCAGATGCTAGCCAGTCACATTTGTACAACTCCAGAGAATAGTGAAATGTCAAAATGGAGTAACAGCTTTCAATTTTTATATACTACTACATTTTTAGTTAACTAGTTTGTCCATAGTGTAAAAGTGTGTCTGAATGAGTGTGTATGGGTTTCCAAGTTCTAGGTTGCAGCTGGAAGGGCATCTACTGCATAAAACATATGCTGGATAAGTTGGCGGCTCATACGGCTGTGGAGACCCCAGATGAATAAAGGGACTAAGCCAAAGGAAAATGAATAATTGTGAATGTAGTACACTAAAAAAAAATCATTGGATTAATAATTTTTTTAAGACAAGTGGTTAGAAATAATTAATATGGACTAAATTACAACAAACAAATAAAATTTAGTATTGTTTAACTTAATTTATTTGTTTAAATTCTGCCCATATACATTATTTTCAACCACTTACACTCACATGATGAGAAGTCATCTATGCTAAAAATGAGGCACAAGACACTGTTTTATAACCATCAAGCTTTGACTATTTAAAAAGATTTTGTTGCAATGTATAACTTTTTTGAGGTTACAAAATAAATTCATATGGTTCTCAGTGGTTCATCAAAATGTGAATGAACACGAGTTATTCATGTCCTAAATTCCAGAGGATTTTAAAACTGATGAGAGAGAGAGAGAGAGAGAGAGAGACCCGGGGAAGCCTGGCAGAGGCAGGTTAATATCAGGGACACTTGACAACAATGGAATGTTATAAAAAGGTGCAGCTGTAATAAGTTCTTTGATCTTCCATTTCCAGCACGTCACATCATTACTCATCCTGCTAACCAATTTACTCCTCGCCATTGCAGCCACATCAACCCAAAGCTGAGGGGAGGAGCAGAGAGAGACACAAGTCCGCAAACTCTAATATAACACGTTTCACATTCCTTTGCAATTTATTCCATTAATAAGAGATGAGTGCAGGCTTATTGGGGAGTTGAACATGAGTCAAAGTTGCTGCTATTCAACCAATATAGAAGTAATCTGGAGTAATTGTTGTATATAAGCAGGGTAAAATATTTAAGGATTGAAAATAAATTAAATACAGTATATAATTTAATAATACATGTATAATTTCATTCAATTTCTTTTGAAATATACATTGCCCAGTTGAATGTTCTATTTGTCAGGGAAAACTAAAAAAAAAAAAAAAAAATTGACATCAATGATTAAACTAAAGAAATGCAGTAAATAATCCATAAATAAACAGTACTTTGAGTTTACAGTACATTCATATAATTTATTCCAAGGTCTGTTGACATTCTTGATTCTGATGCCGTGTGCATTATTTTCGTTGAAACGCACAGGTAGTGCCAGTTTGTTGTGATCACATTTCGAAATAAATGTGCTTCTTCCAAACATTTGTGGTTATCATAGAAACTCACATGCACTGCACAGGAAACCGGTGAGGACTGTTAATGGCGAACGGGAAATCTAGGCACTAGAAAATCTAACATGTCAAAAGTGATTAACAAATTTTTACAAATATTAAGCTGCAAAGAGCAAAACTACTTTAAACTTTGGCCTACTTTGGCAAATGACCATGCAATAAGCAGGATAATCCACTGCTTGCTGTGTGTTAAAGTCCCCAAGAAATTAAAACTAATCATATGAGCTCAGATTGCCAGACAAGCCAGCTGTGCGTGTCATTAAGAAAATCCACTTCCTGTTTGTTTTCAGTAAAATTATCTGATTTAATGTGATTTTAAGGTAATGGGTGGGGCTAACATACTTAACTACACTGGTTTAACAGTCAGATTTGGCAACAAACAGAAATGGTGAGGAGGAGTTTTAGGTTGTAATAACTCTTTTAACATTACCTTTTCCCCAAACTTTCTGAATTAATTGACTACTTAACTACATCAAATCAGCCCGCTGTAGAAAAAACAAGCCACGCCCACAGATTTTTGTCATTTGATATTTCTTTTCACAAAATGTTATAATACGTTGTTAGGTTGATTTAGGTCGTGACTAAAATTCAAGTCTCGCCAGCATCTAAGGACAACGTTATTTTGATGTCCAATAATGATGTCAAATGATGTTGATATTTGGTTAATTTCAGGTTTTTTTAGAAAATGACCAACGTCATATTGACGTCCAACATTGGCATTTATTCATCAGGCATGGCAACCAAAATGTAACATCTGATACACATCATAGTGGTGTTGTCCACATAATATCAAACTGTAACATCATTAGACGTTGATATTTGGTTGGTTTTATGTTGGACATTGGCATCGGCCTGACATTGGGTTCCGACATCAACCTGATTTTCATTTCCAAACAAAATGCAACATCCCACGACATTGGGGTACAACATCAATCTATTGTGATGTTGACGTCTTCTGCCTGCTGGGTGTTATGGCTATTTACTGTAAACATTACAGTACCATAAACATCCATCATCTTCTCATCGGTGGCATGCATCTAAACAGTCTTTGGGTCATTGCGTGCAGAGATTTTGGACATGGTCTTCAAACTGTTTGCTGCATGTCTTAAGGTAATTCATTATGAAGCGATTTATCTTCTATGTGAAATTTGATTGGACAGGAATCACAGAACTGATTTTTCCTATCCCCATAGACAAGAAACAATAAAGTAGTGACTGCTGGTTGAAGGAAAGCAGTGGAGTAAAAAGTACCAATACAGCACTAAAAGTGTACTCAAGGGGAAGTAAAAGTACTCATTTTTAAAACTACTTAGCAAATTTCAAATCCTGAGAAAAACTACTCAATTACAGTAAATTGAGTATTTGTCATTTGTTACTTTACACCACTGGCAACCACACTCCTCTAGTGTGCTGTGCTGGTCCTTCACCTCCACGTCGCGCATTAAAATCCTTTAACGCATAGTAAGCCTTTGATTATCCCTTACTCAAGTTCATGTAAGAGTATATTTGCATTAAATAGAAAAATATGAGTATTTGGAACAAAATTAAAACTGCAGTGGTTTACTTTTCCATTGTGGAGAAAATTAAAGGAATAATATTGAATTTCTACATGGTATAATACTTTTCAGTGCTACTGTGTTACTGTATTAATGATTTTTTTACAGTGGTTCTCAAACTTTTTTCATCAAGTAATACCTCAGAATATATTGTCTCTCCAAGTACCACCATAATGAGCAGTATTGAAATACAGTAGCGTAGTAGGCCCAGTAAAGCAGCTACATCTCTGCACAGTTAAAAAAAACGTGGCAGATTACCTCAGAAATATAGGCTATATGTCACATATGCCATGTTATATACATAATTTTTGATAAATTTTAAAATGTGTGTAGCATGTACATAAGATATTTAATTCCTCTGCGTACCACTATTGGTACACGTACCACAGTTTGAGAACCACTGATCTAATACATCCAGCTATATTTAACGCATCATACTTTATTTACTCATTATTAACTTCTGTGTTACAATAATACAGTGTAGTATGTACCTCTGTAATACAACAAATTCTACAGTGTAGAATTCATCAATAAATCTAGTGACATTTATAAACATTTATTTAAATTTGTAATAATAGTTTACAATATTACTGTTTTACTGAATTTGTGGTCAAATAAATTTAATTACAATAACAACAACAGTAAAAAAAAATACATAAATAAAAAAACTAATTAATGAATGAATAAAAATTCAGTATAAGGTACAGAAATATTTTTAGTACATTTATTTTTTTAATATATATTCAGTACAAATGTTTTCCTTTCTTTTAGTACAAGCATAAGGGTAACACTGGTCAAACAAATGTTTTTTTTTTCTTCGTCTCCAGACAGCAGCACTTCCGTATAGCAGCATCCACGTGTCTCCAGCGGGCCTGCTGTGCTCCTCATCCCTGCGGTGGTGCTCCAGTGAAGGTATGTGGGTCCGAGCCGGTGGGCGTGTGCTGAAATCCAGCTCGCCCAAGCGGACAGGTCAGCTCTGGCCGGTCAGCAGCTGCTGCCTGGCCGCGGTCCCACGCTTCGCAGGCCGGGGGGAGGATTGACAGGTCAGTAATAAAATCAGGCGCCCTCGCTGAGCTCAGAGCGGCCCATTGTTCCAGAGCCAGGCCCGCTGCTGCTGTTTACTCTCTCCCATATGCATTATTCAACGGCCCAGGAGCTCCCAGAGAAAGGGGCCCCATTCAGGGAGCCTCTTGCCCATGTTTTGTTTTGCTAATTTTCAATTAAAATAAACCATGGCGCTGAGGGGGGAGAGAAAGAGCGC